TTTTTTGGAGACGGAGTCTCGCTCTGTCGCCCCGGCTGGAATGCAGTGGCACGATCTTGGCTTACTGCAAGCTCCGCATCCCAGGTTCATGCCATTCTCCTGCCTCAGCCTCCCAGGTAGCTGGGACTATAGGCACCTGCCACCACGCCTGGCTGATTTTTTTTGTTTTGTTTTGTATTTTTAGTAGAGATGGGTTTTCACCATGTTAGCCAGGATGGTCTCGATCTCCTGACCTCGTGATCTGCCCGCCTCGGCCTCCCAAAGTGCTGGGATTACAGGCATGAGCCACTGTGCCCGGCCTCCTGGTAGAGATTCTTATGCTTCTAGACCAGGTGAAGTTTTATTGAGCAATTTCTAAGTGCCCAGCAACGTTCTAAGAATTCTTATGATCTTGGATCTTCATAAGCTGCCTTAAAGCGTGCCCATTACACAGGCAGGAACATTGAGTACCACGGAGAAGAAAGTAGCCAAGAAGCAGGTAAGTGGACGAATTAAGGGAAAGCAGTTGAGCTAGATGCTGGGGGCATGGAGTGGGGTGTGGTTGACACAGCCCTGCCCCCAGGCCAAAACTCACTGGACAAGGGGGTCACCTGACCCTAGGTGGGCCATTCATCATCTGGCCATGCTTTAGGGCTTGGGGCCCCAGGAAGTTCCAGGAAGGAGTCCCAGGGGCCCAAAGGGAGGCTGCCAAGCGGCAGCTCCTAAGGAAGGCCGGTGGGGTCAGGGAGAGACGAGGGCAGAGGAGGGGTCCAGATGAAATAGGGAGGGGCAAGGGGGCCTCCTTACAAAGGCTCCTGCTGTCCCCTCACCTGGACTCTGCCTCCCATCTATGCTAGAGCCAGACCCCCTACCCCAGGAAGCCCCCATCCCACTATCACACCCTACTCTGCACTTTCTGTCTGCTCGGCACCTCGCTCCGATCCCCCCGGGTGCCCAGCAGGGTCCCGTGTGCACATCTGGTCTCTTCCTGACTATAAACTCCTGTGGCTCAGGGAGACCTCCCTCCCCTTCCCCAGCCCACTACTCACTTCCCCACGGCAAACGCCGTGACCCCAATGGTCAGGTTCAGTGGGTGGTAGATGTGCTGCAGAAGCTCTGGGTTGAAGGTTCCCTCGGAGACGATGGGCGCTAACCAGGGTGTGAGTGTCAGCAGCTGTGTGGGCCTGGCAGCAGGGGGGCCGTGGGCACTGAGACCCTCCCCTGTGAAAGCCTAAGTCTCCTCCCAGCCCTGGCTCTCACAGTGTGACCGGGGCAGCTTCGTCCCCATCTCTGGGCCTCCCTTTCCTCACATGGAAGGTGAGAATAATGACAGTCACCTCCCAGCAGCGTTGGGAAGAGCAGGAGTTAACGCACACCAAGGAGGAGCCTGGCATTGTCCATGTGTGCCGAGCCCCTAATAAGTGAGGGTCGTTAAAAAGGGCAAGACAACATTGTTAAGAACAATGGCCCGAGCACCTACTGAGTGCAGACACCGCAGATGTTACAGTACCTCTCATCTGCTCCTCCAACCTCCAGGGAGCTAGGTACTATTATCCACCTGCACAGAAAAAGCTCAGAGCAGTTGGGTACCCTGCCCAAGGTCACACAGCCCAGGTCCCTGACTCCCAGCCCTGTGTCTTTCCACAGTCCCTAATTCTCTGGGCCCCAAGGCCACCCTGATATTGGCACCTCCACTACCCCAACTTATAAATCAGAGCTCTTTCGGCCCCTCCCTCCACCCCCTTCAGGCCTCTCCATGACACCTACCTGTGCTCCAGCAGCTTGGGCTGGGGGTACTGTGACCTGCAACCAAGAAGGACCAGTGGTGGAGGGGAGCCACCACCCTCAAGGCCACAAAAGGGGAAATGCCAGTCTCCTTACCATGCCACGGGCTGGAGTGGCTTCTCCCTCTTGCAGTGCAGCTTCATGTTGCTGGTGGCAGAGGCAAGAAAGAGCCATCGTCATGGGACTGGGGACAGAGATACTCAGCACAGGAAGAAGGAGGAGTCAGAGGCCCCTGCGGGCGGGCACCTGGGGTCCATGCAGGCTCCCTCTGACCTTCCCCCACAGCCCCACCCGACTTTACAGAGGAGCTGGGGACCCTTGCAGAAGTGATCTGTCCAGGGTTGTTGAGAGAGTGAGTGACAGGGCAGTGACTCGAACCCAGTGCTGCTTAGTCCCAAGGCTGATGCTTTTCCAACCATGTCGCTCTCGTTGTCGGAGAGAAGGTTTGAAAAGCTGCAAAGGGCCGGGCACGGTGGCTCACGCCTATAATCCCAGCACTTTGGGAGGCCGAGGCAGGTGCATCACGAGGCCAGGAGATCAAGACCAGCCTGGCCAAGATGGTGAAACCCCGTCTCTACTGAAAATACAAAAAATTAGCCGGGCATGGTGGCGGGCGCCTGTAATCCCAGCTACTCGGGAGGCTGAGGCAGGAGAATCGCTTGAACACAGGAGGCAGAGCTTGCAGTGAGCCAAGATCACACCACTGCACTCCAGCCTGGGTGACAGAGCGAGATTCCGTCTCAAAAAAAAAAAAAAAAAAGCAAGAAAAGCTGCAAAGGCCTGGTGATTGGGACCTCGGGTGAGCTAATTAACCTGAGCTCACTGTAATGGTCAGTTGTATGTGTTAACTTGGTTAGGCTGTAGTATCCGGTTTCTCAAACACAAGTCAAAGTGTTGCTGTGAAACTTTTTTTTTTTTTTTTAAGAGACAGGGTCTTGCTCTGTTGCCCAGGCTGGAGTGCAGTGGTACAATCATAGCTCATTGCAGCCTCGACCTCCTGGGTTCAAGCAATCCTCCTACCTTAGCCTCCTGAGTAGCTGCACCTGCCAGGCACTCATTACCACCCCCGGCTGATTTTTTAAACTTTTGTAGAGATGGGGTCTTGCTGTGTTGCCCAGGCTGGTCTGTGAAAGTATTCTGTAGATGTGATTAACATTCTATATCAGTTGATTTTATGTAAAAGAGAGTATCTTAGACAGCCTGGGTGGGACTGATCCAATTGGTTGAAAGGCCTTAAGAACAGAACTGGTGGCCAGCCCAGGTAACTCACACCTATAATCCCGGCACTTTGGGAGGCCGAGGTGGGCAAAGCACTTGAATCCAGGAGTTCAAGACCAGCTTGGGAAACATGGCAAGTCCTCGTCTCTACAAAAACAACAAAAATTAGCTGCGTGTGGTGGTGTGCCCCTGTGGTCCTGGCTACTTGGGAGGCTGAAGCAGGAGGATGGTTTGAGCCCAGGAGGTGGAGGCTGTAGTGAGCTGTAATCACACTACTGCACTCCAGCCCGGGCCACCCACAAAGTGGGACCCTGTCTCAAAAAAAGAAAAAAAACTTTCACCTGTGGGCTGCAGTGTCCACTCCTGTCTGAGTTTCAGCTACCTAGCCAGCCTCACCATCACATAAGTCAATCTTCCCAGGTACGTTGGCCTGTCTGTCTACCTGCCTACCTCTTACTGGTTCTGTTTCTCTCGTGGATCCCTGACTGCCATTTCTCTGCATCTGCAAAATGGGCAAAACCATCCTTAGCCCTAGCAGTGGTGGGCTAGCGGAGGGGCTCTTGGCCCATGTCCAGCATGGAGCAAGTGCTCAGTAAGCTGAGGGATCCTGGGCAAGTCTTGGCAGGCAGTCTGCATGGTCACTTTCAAAGTCAAACTGGGTGGAGAAGAAAGAAGGGGGTCCATGAAGGAGGTGCCAGGGCTGCAGGGTCAGAACCCTGGGCTTACCTCTGGCTCTGCCACCAACTGGCCCAGGGACCTGGAGCCAGACATTTGACCCTATGAACTTTAGTTTCCTCATCCACAAAATGGGGACAATAAAACCATCCACTTAGAGTGTTTCCAGCAGGTGGAAGCGAGGCGCAGAGAAGGGAAAGACTGGCCGGGCGTAGTGGCTCACGTCCGTAATCCCAGCACTTTGGGAGGCCGAGGTGGACGGATCACAAGGTCAAGAGATCAAGACCATCCTGGCCAACATGGTGAAACCCCGTCTCTATTAAAAATACAAACATTAGCTGGACGTGGTGATGCGTGCCTATGGTCCGAGCTACTCAGGAGGCTGAGGCAGGAGAATCGCTTGAATGTGGGAGGCGGAGGGTGCAGTGAGCCGAGATCCCGCCACTGCACTCCAGCCTGGCGACAGAGGGAGAATAGTCTCAAAAAAAAGAAAAGAAAAGGGAAAAGCCACCCAGCCAGCAGCAGCAAGAAAAGGCCCGAGGCCGATTGTCCCCAGGCAGAAGCTCGTAAGGATCCCACCCACTGATGACACAGTAGTCTGCCAGGTCCTTGTAAGTTTCTTTTCTTTCTTTCTTTTCTTTTTTGAGATGGGGTCTCTCTGTGTTGCCCAGGCTAGAGTGCAGTGGCACAAACTCAGCTAACTGCAGCCATGACCGCCTAAGCCCAAGCGATCCTCCCACACCAGTCCCCTGAGGAACTGGGACCACAGGTACCCACCAACACACCCAGCTGTTTTTGTATTCATATTTTTGGTAGAGACGGTGTTTCACCATGTTGCCCAGGCTGGTCTTGAACTCCTGAGCTCAAGCGATCTGCCTGTCTCGGCCTCCCACAGTGCTAGGATTACAGGCATGAGCCGCCTTGCCTGGTCCCCTGTAAGTTTCAATATGTCACGTATGATGGGATGACTGAAGCCTCCTTGACTCTTCCACTTCTAGGCTATGCTCTTTTATTTGTGGTAAAGTGTACAAAACACAAGATTTACTACCTTAGCCAACTTTTAAGTGTACAGTTCAGTGGTATTAGGTACATTCACATTGTCATGCAATGATCCAACATTTGTGTCCAGACTTTTTCATCATCCCAAAAGGAAGCTTGGACCCTCATTAAACAAGAGGTTGCCATTGCCCCTCCCCCAGCCCCTGAGAACCGTAATTCTACATCTGCCTCTATGAACTTGAGTATGGAAGGTACTTCCTATAAGAGGAATAATTAAGTTTTTGTTCTTTTGTGAATAGTAGCTACTTTTTTTTTTTTTCCTTTTTTAGATGGAGTCTCAGTAATCTTGTCTTCCCAGCTGGAGTGCAGTGGTGTGATCTTGGCTCACTGTAACCTCAGCCTCCCGGGTTCAAGTGATTCTCCTGCCTCAGCCTCCCAAGTAGCTGAGACTACAGGTGTGTGCCACCACACCTGCCAATTTTTCTATTTTTATTAGAGACGAGGTTTCATCATGTTGGCCAGACTGGTCTCAACTCCTGAGCTCAAGTGATCCACCAGCCTTGGCCTCCTGAAGTGCTGGGATTATAGGCGTAAGCCACCACACCCAGCCACGTTGCTACTCTTGAATCGACAATTTTTTCAAGTCAACTCGTCAAACGGGCCCTCTGCCCTAATTTCCTACAAGCAAGCATATTTCAGGGCCCTGCTCAGAAAGCCCTGGGATTTCAAGAAGGGGTCAGGAGTTAGAAGGGGCACCAAACAGCCCAGCATTCTGCAACTCCCTGGCTCCTCTCTCCTCTCCACAAGCCCAGACACACTCCAGCTGCGGTGAAGAGTTACACACAAGAATACAAAAGCAGGCCAGTGTGGTGGCTCACACCTGCAATCCCAGCAAGGGTGAGTTGGAAGGATCCTTTGAGGCTAGGAGCTCCAGACCAGCCTGGGCAACATAGTGAGACCCTGTCTCTACACACAAATAAAAAATGAGCTAGGAGGTGTGGTGGTGCGTACCTGTGGTCCCAGCTACTCGGGAGGCTAAGGTATGAGGATCACTTGAGCCCAGGAGGTCAAGGCTGTAGTGAGCTGTGATAATGCCACTGCACTCCAGCCTGAGTGACAGAGCCAGACCTTATCTTCCCCCACCACACACACACACACACAAGATAGACAAACTGTAAAGAAGAAAAAAAAAGTTGTAGGTATACTCAGCCAAGGGTGATGATAGAGAACCCACAAACGGACCAAACAGAGAAGGTAGGGAGGAAGCACTTCACACAAGAAAAAATTCAATTAATGGGAAGACATAGGGAAATGACACTCTCACTAGTAATAATAATAATAATAACAAAATTAAGTCCAGGGGTGATGGTTCACGCCTTTAATCCCAGCACTTTGGGAGGCCAGTGGTGGGGGCAAAGCCTGGCTGAGGCGGGCAAAGACCAGACTGGCCAACATGATGAAACCCCGTTTCTACTAAAAATACAATAATTAGTTGGTGCGCGTAATCCCAGCTGTTCAGATGACTGAGGCATGAGAATTGCTTGAACGCAGGAGGCGGAGGTTGCAATGAGCTGAGATCACGCCACTGCACTCCCGCCTGGGCGGCAAAGCAAGCCTCTGTCTCAATATAATAATAATCATCATCATCATCATCATCATAAATAAAATTTATACCAAAGAGGATAGCATTTCCCTCTCCCAATCAGCAAGGCAGGTTCATTTTTGTTTTCATAACCCCTGGTATTCCCAGCAGTAGCCCATGTGTATTACAGGGTGGCTTTGCTGGGTACTACTCGGGCAGGGCACATGAATGAGTGACCGATGATGTGCTGTGGTCCTTCTGAAATAACCCGATGAGATGGATCAGAACCTATCCACATCCTCCGGCCGCTAAGGGAACATGTCTGAACAAAACGATCTTTGAAACAGAGAAAGGGTTATGCTGCTCATCACAAACTTAGAACCCTGGGAAACTGGGAGCAACATAAATGCTGAGAGCAATTGGTGGTGGGAAAGAGAGAGGGACTCAAAAATTATGTGCCAGCCCCTGGGTGGAATAAGATGATGGTGATCAGGCCGATGCAATAGCTCATGCCTGTAATCTCAGCACTTTAGGAGGCTGAGGCAGGAGGATTGCTTGAGCCCAGGAGTCCGAGACCAGACTGGACAACACAGTGAGACCTTATCTCATTTTGAAAAAAAAAGGATGGGACACACATTGAAAAATAAAGTTCATTCTGGGAAAACAGAATAAAAACTGCAAAAACAGTATGACCACCACTGTTCTAAATAGCAAGCAGCCATTTT